TGGGGAAACTATATTACATTTTTACACCCAATTGTTTGCCTTCATTTTAGAAATGAAATCTATGCTAAAGCAGTGAAAACAACTTGCTCAAATTATACCAATTGTCTTGGATCTGCTTCCTTTTCTTAAAAATCACCTTATTAAAGTATGATTGACATTTGAAAAGTGTGTGCATTTTAAATTCAAACCAAGTTCTTTTGCAGGTTAGAGTTCTTTTCCATTACTCTGTTGTCTGTTGTATCCATATATGAAAAAGCTAAGATTTACTGTCTTGTTTGAATCTTTTCACTTGGAGATCAAGAATATTTATAATAGTGTCTAAATGCATAAACAATTTCAAAACAGTTGATTTATGCTTATTGAACCTGAGAAGGGTTGATACCACCTATTTAAAGGGAACCAATGAATAAAATAGGGGATTATTTCTTTTTTTTCAATCAAACTTGATGGTGTATTTATTTTTCCTGGGTAAAATGAGTAACAAAAGGAGGCATATAACATAAACAATCTCATCGAAGCAAATTTGAATGGGGAAGATAAACCACACATATGACTATGCAAATGAGATATATGACACTCTTTGCCAAAAAAGAGATTTAGTACACTGCTTTTTAAATATTTAGTATTTGTTTTCAATTGTTTTGGAATTACTGCCTTCAATGAATCTGGTATGATTTGAAAAGTAGATTATTTCATGGACATGAGAAATTTCATGAAGTTTGGCTTGGTTGAACTTAAGCTATGCAATACTAGGGTTTAAGTGCAAAGGTCCTATATTATATCTTTAAGGATCTGTGAGACATTAGAACAAAACATGTAATTCTATATGAAACTTAATACAAACATAAGGGAAAGGCCTTAAAAGATACTCTACCTAAAGCTCCTCTAAATAGAGCTTAGGGACCAATTTTATTTTTGTACGTATTTGTTTTATGACCTCTTGTTGAACTCTATGCATGATGATACTCAAGAACTGGTGGGAAAATAGGATGCTCCGTGAAGAAAACCATGGAGAAACAAGAACCATGAAATGAGACAACTGAGCAAATTTTGTGCCTTTGAGTAAATTGCTGCATTAGCAATAAGGATGTGAGTTGCCTGTTTCAGGCCATAGAACAGTCTATGAGTATATTAGTCAGAAAAATAACTGAACTCTAACATAGTTTCGTTTAGGAGCTTATTGTTGTAGCCATTTTGTCAGCTCTGAGCTCAGAGGTTAACACAATACTATACAAAACATTAACAAGATCTTAGATCGTCTTCTCTCAACGTAAATTAGTCTGAATCATTTTCCCCTGCTCACATTATATTAATTTCATGTTGACATTTCCTATCTAAGAAGAAATAGAGAAAGAACCCTGGAAGATCAATTTCTGAACACTGCTATAAATCGTAACCAACCACTGCTTGAGTTTTAAGTCATGCTCCTTTGTGGCTAACTAGGGTTATAAAAATGAACAAAAAACTACGCTTCCTCATTTCTCAGTCTGCAAAAACAGTATGAGTGAGAGCACTTCTCTTTTGTAAATGGGAATCACTGCTGAAATGAACAGACACTTTGTAAAACTGCCCCAAGCTCCTCTTTACACTTTCCAAAATACCGTGTTTATTGCCTTACAATCACCTGCCTTTTCCTTGAGAGATTTTCTTCAGCACACAGAAGCATTATGTTTGGTCAAGTTTGCAACTTGAAATGCTTATGCACAGCAAAATAGTTACAAAATTTATAGCTGAATAAATGGAAAAGAGTAACATGAGGATTATGGATCAGTGAAATCACTGCCTTTGGACATGCCTTGTGACTGTTTAACTGCCTTAAAATTAATTGTGGGTTTGTATTCCAACTCTGTGAAAATCTTCTATAAATCTTCACATTTGATCTATTCAACTTAGAATTGATTTCACATGTTTCTTGTGACTGTCAGGTTATTACTGTGAGGCGATATGTTTGTCTGGACAGGGTATAATTTTTGTATGAGATCTAATGTGCTGACTTATTTGCAAACAAAGTGTTATTCATTTTACCACTGAACCCCTTCTTTCTTGGTCAGTTGTTTAGCACATTGTGGCATTAGAAAAGCAGTTAAAAAGTCGCATTACCAATTTTGAATGCCAATGGAAAGAATTGTGTACGTTTGTGCTCCTCTATGGCGACATGGAAGGACAAGGCATTGATGAGAGGAGTGCATAGCTGCACATCCTAAGGAATGTCAGTATCTAGGATAGTGAAGAAAGTGTGGTGACACTGAGTTTGCTGATTTGTATGTGGTCGTCTGACTTACAGAATTAATATATCTTAATAATGTAAACCCTACCTTCAAATGATATGACTGTATGAAAGGGGAGTTATCTGCACACAGATAATATGGAAATAATAGTGGGAAATATGATATGAAAAAAGAATATAGGCTTTTGCATTAAAGCAGGTTCCAGGCCTGGCTCTGTACTAACTTACTAGATAGTAAAGAATGAGTTCTTTAAGATAACTGCTTCTGTTATCTTGTTTTTAAAGCTGAAGCATCATTTAACACACTGTCAAAAAAGTTTTGATAAAGGACTAATAAAATCCAGTGTTAAGATTCTTAGTCTGTTTTGATAGTAAGTTGAAAATCACAATATTATTTGCTGAGTTATTGTCACCATCAAGCATATCAATGTAAACATCATGTTATCCTAAGTGCTGCCTGTACGTGAACTGGCTTCAATTGTAGATTCTTCCTGGGAAGGTTTCATTTATGATACAAGGCATTGGAACTGTCTATATTCTATCTGCCCATGGAGATGGGCCTGAATCCATAACGGTTCCTATAATTTTTTAAAGTAGCTGTTGAAAAAAATAACTGCATGCTTTCTGTGAAGATCATGGCAATTGTCTTCAGTTTTATCCTTAATACATTAGTTTAAATTCACTTATGAAATTACAGTAGATTTGACTTTAAAAGTAAAAACATTGGTTCTAAGGAGATGAAAAAGCAATTAGAAACCAACAAAATCTCTGATCTCTGTTTCTATTTATTATGTGAAAAGAACAAAACAGCACTGCTTAGTTTAGTGGAGTAGATAAGTTTTTTCATGCCTATCCCCTATGACACATAACTTTGAATTCTGAAGCCTCTGGTGATGTCTTTTTATCACTCATCCACTTTTGGGGTCCTTTTATTCCACTTTTTAAAACCTTCTTCCAAAGTCACAATATTTTTGGCTGCTCACTGTACAGCTCAAGCATGCCTCAAACATCTGATTCTCCTGTCTCTACCTCCAGAGTTTCTGTGTTGCCACAGCCAGCCAAATAAAATAAACAAAGCAGACCTTCTACCATTTTTATTCTCACTAATACTATTTCTTAGTTTTAGCCGGGTGGTGGTGGCGCATGCCTTTAATCCCAGCACTCGGGAGGCAGAGGCAGGCAGATTTCTGTGAGTTCGAGGTCAGACTGGACCGACAGCCTCCAAAACAATACAGAGAAACCCTGTCTCGTAAAACAAACAAAAAATACTATTTCTTAGTTTTTCTGAAGCATTAATGAGACTCTCCTGGGTTTCTATAACCCTGTTTTGTAAGTGACAGAGGCAAAACAAAGGATTGAAGTATTTACTGAGCATATATTGATGATACACCCCATCTGTCTCACTGAAGTTTACTTGAGAGATCTCTTGTAATCTTGATGATGCATTTACAAGTAGGCATTATTTATTCTACTAACTTTCTAAGATGAAGAAAGTGCGAATATGAGACCAGGTGACATGGGGAGAACAAAAGAGGAAAGGGTGATTGATTTGAGCTTCTCCTAGAGAAAGTTTCAATTCATGTCTTCATAGGAAGAGTTTGCAGTACACATAAGATGTTAAAAGGACAAACCTGAAGCTCATTGTTTAAGTGGGGACTATCACATTCTTTGCTTTCTTGATAGATTTTATTCATGTCCTCTCCTCCCAATTGTAAGGGCCTTCCCCAACACCAGCAATATGATAGCTATCAGGTAGCCCTATTGACAGCCTAGGAAATATTGTCTTCCTCTGTGTTCTTTTACTTCATTCATTTAGCAAGTAAGATATACCTTCTTAGATTATATCCTTTTGACATTCTAAATAAAATTTTGTACATGCCCTTTATTGTAGTTAAATGTATGATGTCTAGCCTGACAGTGGAGTTTTATACCTTTAATCCCGGCACTTGGGAGGCAGAGTTAGGTGGATATCTATGAGTTAGAACCAGTCTGGTCTACCAAGTGAATTCCAGTACAGCCAGGCCTATTACAGAGAAACCCTGTCTCGAACAACAACAACAACAACAACAACAACAACAACAAAAGCATAATGTCTAACAAATCCCTGTAGTATTTCACTTTATTAGATGATTCTTGGAAACACCAAGCCTATAAGGACTGGATATGTAACAGGTTATTTCAGACAAGTTGGCATACCTGAGCAAAGTATAACCATATAAAAGTGGAATGCAGAAAGAACCTACAACCATGACAAAGGCACATGTAAGGCAGCTTTGGGAAGAAATAAGACTTCTAGCAACAGTTATGCTTATAACCAGTAGCCAGCTGAATCACCTTCCATATGTGTAACTAGGAAGTGAGACGACTGCAGTGAGGAGAACATCTCAGAAACTGCTGACAGAGGATAAGAAAGCTGCTTCCCTCCAATCTTGTTGTAAGTTTGACTAGAGACTGTGGGATTTTTCTAGGATAACTCATCAATGTTAAGAGAACCTTGTGACCAGGGAGTGACTTGTGAAGCCTGCCAGTGGCATTCCTATCTTCCCTCACTCTTTTCAAAGCTGCCAGGTCCAATGAGGTGTCTGATGGTAAAAGGACTGCTACACACTCTACCTTGCAAACACTAAGGGCTAGATATAACTATCTGCTCATTCCCTTTTGCCTCTGGTAATCCATTTTGGTGTCTCATTATGCATAGCTGCTAAAACTTCCTAGTCCTCCAGGCTGCACTTGATCACTACTTTATGTTTTGCTTTGTGTATGTGTTTTTTAGGAAAGAATGAATTAATCATCGCTATTAACACAGCATCTGCAAGAGACCTGACTGGGGTGATTAAGAGCTTCTATCAGCACTGGATAAAACAGTAGGTACTTACACATTATCTTGATATTTTTTCCAGTATCCCTTCCCTCAAAGATTACTCTTTCACCCAGAGGTAACCATTAGCTAACTGCTGCATGTTTGCTGTTCAATATAGTAAATTACCATGTAGTGATAAAGCTACAACAGTGCAATGATATATAGCCTTGCATCACATGAATGAACTTGTTTAGTAGAGGATCTGGTAAATCGTGGTATTTTAATTTTGTCTTTGCGGACAATATTAGAGCCTAGGCAAAACTAAAATTCATAATTATCCTATTTTTATTGCTAGTTAGATATATTGTGTCCATTGTCAATATTTTTGATAGTTTAAAACATACTACATTGTAATACTGCTTATATTTGTGGCTGGCTTTTCCAGTCTCTTAAATCAAAGGGGAGCACTTAAGCCATTCCATTATAATCCTGTTCATATTTGTGTGAGCTGTTTATGTAATAATATTAAAAAAGAAACTAGAAATCAGGGCACCTAGCCTTTACTTACATTTGAAATAAAATATGTAATGATTATATAAATATTTTCAACATTGCACACATACACATATACCACACACTAGCCTCTCTGCATACACAAAATAAATAGAATAATAGTTTTATGTTGAGAAAGAATATCATATTTTCTAAGATGGAAAATTAAGGTGAGCATGAAGAAGCTACATAAGTATTAGACAAGTGTTTATTATTGGTTGACAACTCTCTGGTTGGACATGTAATAAAATGGTACAGATTTAAAAATGAGAAGTGTAGGTACTTTTTTTCTCTTCTTATTCTAGAGGGCTACTTTCAGAATTATATTACTCAAGCACCAATTTAGATATAATCACTGTTAGGAGATATGTATAGTGCTTACAGTTTGAAATGTAGACATTTTTTAAGTTAAGAAAATACGCAAAGTGCTGAGCCAAACTCCTGGAATCCAGTTGCAGAGAGGGAAGAGTGATGAGCACAGGGGTCAAGATCAGGCTGGGGAAACCCACAGAAACAGCTGACATGAACAAGGTGGAGCTCTTGGACCCCAGACTGATAGCTGGGAAACCACCATAGGATCCATCCACACCCCCTGATCATGGGTTTCAGTTAGGAGGCCTGGACCTCTGGCAGTGAAACAGTATTTATCCCTAGTGCACCAATAGATTTTGGGAGCCCATTTACTATGGAGGGATACTCTCTCAGCCAAGATACATGGGGGAGGGCCTATGTCCTGCTGAATATGATATGACAGACTTTGATGATCCCTCAAGGTAGGTCTCACTCTCCCTGAGGAGTGGATAGGGGGTGGGATGGGGGTTTGGCGGGGGACATGGGATGATGGGAGAGAGAGAGAGAACTGGGATTAGTATGCAAAATGAGATTGCTTTTTAATTCAAACAAAAATTTATTTAAGAAAATAAAATATGTAAAGTAGAAAGTGGCTTTTGGAGAGAGAGGAGAGTGGAGGCATGAGAAAATGTAATAGGAGTTGGGAGTGATCAAAAATTGTTATACACATGGATGTATAAAGCATCCACAGAATAATAAATAAATGAATAAATCATGAGCAAAATAACTGCATAGAAAAATTAAATACGGTTGTACTCTTCTGCTGATATACGTGGTAGAAAAAAATATATCCTTAACCAGGAAGTTAGCTGTTTTTTTGTTTTTTATCCTTTTTAATTTAAATTAGAAACAAGCTTACTTCACATGTCAATCCCAGATCCCTCACCCTCTCTCCCCCATCCTCCACTCACCCCCCCCAATCTCCCACCCAAACTCCATTCAGCTCCTCAGGGAGGGTGAGGCCCTCCATGGGGCATCTCCAAAGTCTGTCATATCATTTGGGGCAGGGCCTAGGCTCGTCCCCGTGTGTCCAGGCTGAGAGAGATTCCCTCAATGGGGAGTGGGCTCCCAGAGTCCATTGGTATGCTGGGGATAAATACTGATCTACTACCCAAGGCCCCATAGATTGTCAAGGCCTCCTCACTGACACCCATGTTCAGGGGGTCTGGATCAGTCCCATGCTGGCCCCTCAGGCATCAGTCTGGGGTCCATGAGCTCCCCCTTGTTCAGGTCAGCAGTTTCTGTGGGTTTCACCAGCCTGGTCTTGACCCCTTTGCTCATCACTCCTCCCTCTTTGCAAGTGGTTTCCAGGAGTTCAGTTAAGTGTTTAACTTTGGGTGTCTGCCTCTGCTTCCATCAGCCACTGGATGAAGGCTCTAGGATATGATAGTCATCAATCTCATTAACTGGGAAGGGCATTCAAGGTAGCCTCTCCACTATTCCTTAGTATGCCAGTTTAATAACCAGTATTACTACTATAGTACACATGTCATCTTTAGGTGAATTTGTTTATATTTAATGGAATGTATTTCAATATGTATTCAGTTTTGGACATCTGGAAGCTGGATTCAAGTTATTGGACCCATTCTTTCCTTTTTTCTTTTTTAATTTCATTTTAAATTCCAACCACAGTTCTCCCTCCTACACCTCCTCCAACCCTCCCCTTATCTGCTCCCATCTTCCCTTCGCCTCCCCCCATGCACTCCTCATGGGTAAGGGCTCCCATGAGGAGTCAATACAGTCTGGTACAATAGGTTGGGTCAGGGACAGGTCTCTCTCCCATGCATTAAGGCTGAGCATGACGTCCCATCATAGAGAATAGGCTCCAACAAGCTAGCTTCTGTACCAGGTTTGTATCGTGAGGACCCATTCTTTCTAGTTGCATATTCTAAGAAAGGAAATTTTTTCTTGAGATTTTTCTAATATAGTAATAAAAGACAGGAAAAATAAAGTCAGGCATCTGTCCATAGCATATTATCTATTACTAACACATGGCACATGATAAAATAGTCTATATAGCAAATGGCATGTATCTATTATCAAAAATGACCATCTACTAGCTCAAATGAAGTACTATACATGTATTGAAAATATTAATGGATGAAGGTAATAGGTAATCTTTGTATTTTTGTTGCAATATGAAATTCACTAAAACAGTAGATATTTGAATAGTTATTTGTTAATTTCATACAGCATGTTTTGATCATTTTCATACACTCCCAACTCTTCCTTGATTTACTTCCTTTCATTACCCACACAACTTTGTGTTCTTGAAAAAAACTTTCAAGATAATTTTGCTGCCCAAATATGCTTGATTGTGTGGTGTTTCACTCGAGAGTGATTTACTTACTGTCTCTCCCTCTTCCAGCAGCTAACAATTGCTTATATTTCTATAGTTTTTGGTGGAATTGTGTGCCCAACTCTGTTCTCCATGCTAAAATTGGATCTGGCTAAGGCTTACATAGGTTTTGTGGGTACTGTTGAAACCACTGTCTGCATGTGCAGCTGTCCTGCTGTGTCTAGAAAATAATGTTTCCTTGTAATCAGCCACTCCAGGCTCTTACAACCTTTCCTCCTCCTCTTCTATAATTATTCTTGAGCCTGTTGAGGGGGATTTGTGGTATATATGTTCTCTTTATGGATGAGAATACTGTATACTTTGTTATTCTATGCATGTTGATCAGCTATGGTTCTCTGTGCTACTCACTATATGCAGCAGATAAAAGCTTCTCTGATGATTGTTGTGAGATGTATTAATCTATGGGTATAAAGATAAGTCATTAGGAGTCAGTTTAACACTGTGTCCATTTACCAGCTTTAAAGCAGTTGGATCTCCCATATAGCCTATGACTTGTCTAACTGTAAGTTCTTAGTCTGATAATAGTGCCAGATATGGGTTTTATCTCATGACACAGGCCATGCATTCAATCAGAAAGTTGGTGGTTTCTCCATGATGTTTATGCCATGATGGGGGTGTATGTCTCCCCCATCCAGTCATTATTATAGTTTACAGGGTTCACAGTTGGGTAAGACTAATTATTACATCTCTTTCTAGTATCTTGCATGGCACCATGTAGCTAGACAATAGAGGTGAAGTTTCCAGGTCAATATCAACTTGATATCTTAATGCCCTGTGATTCAATCATGTGGTATCTTCAGCAATATGATCTTACTGTTAAATTCTGGAGAGTAACCAAGAACAATGGCAAAAGCTTGCAATGTTTGTTGGTCTATTGGACTTCTGTGGTCAACAACTATTCTCCAGAGAGAGAGGGGGGGAACGATGATGGGTATTTTACTTTTTTGTATCAGGTTCTACGTGTCTCTTTTGAAAGTTCTTTGATGTTATTTTCTCTTTCCACACTCCCTCTTATGTCGTATTTTTCAAACTCAGGTTAACACTTTCTTTTCTATGTACATTCTATTCCCCTTCCATTAAAAGCCCTCATCCTTATCCTTAATAATTTCCTGACCTCTATGGGTAATCCTAGTGAAACACACATGTCTGAAAAATCAAAAAACATGTGATGTTTGTATTTCTGGGTCAGGGCTATCTCACTTAGAAGGGTTGTTTCCAGTTCCATTTACTTGAAATGTAATAATTTCTTTTTTCTTGATAGCTGAATAATAGTCAAATGTGTAAATATACCACAGTTTTATTATCCATTCATCAGGTGATAGACCTCTAGACTCTCTCATTTTCATGGCGATTGTGAAAGGAGCAGTAGGACTGGAGTCCTTTGGGTATATGCCTAAGAATGGTATAGATGTATTATGTATAGATCTATTTTTAACTTTTTGAGACTTCTTCACACTCATTTGTATAGACCAGTCCCTGTATCAGCACTATCAACTGAAAAAAGAAGTTTCACTGATGAGCTTAAAGTTAGCCATCCTGACTGGGGTGAGATGAAAATCAAAGTGCTTTTAACTTGCATTTTCCTAATGGCTAAGGATGTTGCACATTTTAAAAATGTTTCTCAGTCTTTTGCTTCATCTTTTCAGAACTCTATTTAGATCTATGCCCTAATTTTTAAAAAGAGTTACTTGTTTTGTTATTGTTTCCTTTTTGAGTACTTCATATATACATATTATTTTTTCTTTGGAGAGTTCTTATTTTTTATATTTTTTATTTAAGTTAGAAACAAGCTTGTTTCACATGTCAATCCCAGCTCCCTCTGCCTCCCCTCCTCCCCTGCCCTCCCCACCAGGTCCCCCAGTTCCCCACTCAATCTCCACTATGATCCCCAGGGAGGGTGAGGCCCTTCATGGGGGATCTCCAGAGTCTGCCATTTCATCTAGGGCAGGGCCTAGACCATCCCCCAAGAGTTCAGGCTGAGAGAGAATCCCTCATGTACTTCATATATTCTAGATACTATCTGTTGAAGGTATAACTGGTAAGAGTTTTTCCTGTTCTATAGGTTGTCTCATCACTCACTTGCTGTACAGCTACTGTTTTGTTTCATGAAGTTCCATTTATTGATCTATTATCAACAACTGAATAGAAAACAAATAAAGCAATCCAACAAACAATAAAACTCTTGAGAAACCATTTTGAATGGAGAATTAGATTAAATGCATGGCAGAGAAAAGATGAAGTTTATATTTCTAAAGCCACATCCAATCAGATATTAAGGGTATCAGTGGCCTTCTGGATTTCTAGGACTTTCAAAGGAGAGGAGATAGAATACAGTTCTATAAATTTAGGGTTAAAAGGAAGTAACAGAACCAGAGGGGTAAAACTGGGATGAGTAAATGGAGGGTAGAGCAGGGAGTAAAAGAAGGGATAAATAACACCTGTATGGAAGATAAGTGTCATCATTTTAAAGAAATTTATTCTTAGAGTTGATTCCTTTTTAATTTCCTGATAATCCCATCAGTGAATGCTTATATAAATGATGGCTAGAAAGATATAGAAATAGATTAATTGATCAGGGACCAATTGTAGAACAAATAATAAGTGTATCTGACTACTATTTATTTTAAAATAAACATAGTCAGACTTCTCAAAACTGGAATTATATGATCACCGACATAATCACTGAAATAATTAATTGTACCCCAAATTCTCAAAGAGCTATGTACCAAATATTTTCTCATTTAATATATACCTAAGTTGGTAAGTACATTGATGCTATATGAATTCAAATGTTTGCTGTGATTTAGAAATGTCATTAAAATGTTACAAAGTATAGAGGTAGAGATTTTAATGAGTCTCAATATGTGACTAGTCAGTTTTCATTTCAGTGAAATAGGTATCTAAAATTGACCAAATATAAATAATAGCCTTCACTGAAAATACCTTATTTTAGTTACACATTTTTGTTTAATAATCTCTTCTTTCTTTAGGTTCACATGGTTTGTATTTAAGGGACTAAAACTATAACAAATGGGAACTGAGTGCCTACATTATATATAAAACTCACCCTAATCCAAATTAAGTCCACAATCTTACTGTGTTATCCTGGAGTCCTGGTTTGCATTCCGTAATGGACAATGGTATAAAATTAAATATTTATCCTATGGAATAATTTTAAAGCGTGAGTCAACATTTGAGCTAAATTCAGAGATGGAAATAGGCATCTTATCTTGCTTCGTGATAACATAGTCTTGCATGGTGCAAGTCTAGGGGAGCAATAAGAGATCAGGCTGAAAAAAAAGAGAACAGTGTTTTAAATGTTGTATTTTCAGGCCTTTGTAGTGTAGACATGTGAAAGGTTTGCAAATTGCAAGGAAATATTTTAGCTTGAATCTGATTAAGAAAACAATTTTAGACATGTCACTCTAAAATAAGAAAGTCATTTTATTTAGCAAAACAAAAGGGAATTAGGGCCACCACATGTCAAAATGTTGTAAACATAAAATACAAATATTTTTCATTTCTGAAATCTGGTCGGGTATTAATATGTTGCTTCAAAAACATAAAGAGTTGTATTTTCAGTGAGGATTCCTTATTTTCTTGCTATTCATCTTAGGTAGAAGAGATCCTTAATTATTTGAGCCAATTTGAGCTTGAAATAGATGTTCATATTCTTTCTGTAGATACATATGCATAACATTGGGAAGAGAACACCTTCTAGATTGCTTAGAGATTTTTTAATTCATTTTTATTTTTATTTTATTATTTTAATTTTAAAGAGCTTGCTTCACATGTCAATCCCACTTCCCTCTCTCTCCCCTCCTCCCGCACTCCCCCATCATCTCTCCAGCCTCCCACCCTATCCCCACTTCTTTCCACATAGGGGATATCTAGAGTCTGTCATTTCACTCAGGGCAGGGTCCAGGCACTCCTCTAAGAGTCCAGGCTGAGAGAGCATCCCTCTTTTTGTTGTGGACACAGGAAATCCGTTTGTATGCTAGGGATAAACACTGACCTACTGCCCAGGGCCCCATAGGTTGCCCAGGCCTTCTCACTGACTCTCACAATCAGGGGGTCTGGATCAATCCCATGCTGGCCTCCCGGCTGTCGGTCTGGGGGGGTCCAAGAGCTCTCCCTTGTTCAGATCAGCTGTCTCTGCTGGTTTCACCAGCCCAATCTTTGACAATTTGCTCATCGCTCCTCTCTCTGTCACTGGGTTCCCTGGGTTCAGTTCAGTGTTTAACTGTGGGTGTTTGCCTCTGTTTCCATCAGTCACTGGATGAATGTTCTAGGATGGTTATAGACATCAAGTTTATTATCAGGAATGGGCATTTAATTCAAACAAGACTCTATTAAAATAAGTTGTAATGCATTTAGTTTTAAAGCCAAACAAAAGTAGCACATCATGTTGCCTTGATAATCCTCACAGTGCCAAGTTGTATTATACACTGATGAGTTACCTAAATTGTACAAATGTCAAAATCGTTGCCACCTATTGAAAAATTATTCAGTAACAGAACATTTTTCAATACATAAGTATGTAAATTTCCAAAGATTGCCTTTGCATCAAATTCTAAGACCTGGCCTGACTCCAAGCAGTAATTGTGATGACATCTGTGATCCTTTAGGAAACGTCATCCCTACCCTGCCTAAAAGATCAATTGTGAGAAGAAAAGAGTCATTTGTAAAGGACACATCTGACACAGATTATCATTAATGGATCATTTGTTGGATGCCTTCTCATACGAATTTATCAAAAATTTCATTGAAGACCTACAGTTTTATTTGGTGACAGATATTTTATATCTGGGTGTACCTATTACAGACCTGCAGTGGGATAAGATTCAAGTAAGTATGTTATTACCTGGATATTTGAAAAGTGGTTACAATGTATTTGCAACAAAAGTCTTTGTTTTAAGGTTAATCTTGGATTCTCTTCATCTTACTTTTGTCTCTTTCTTTGGAGATGGATCAGTATAATGAGTCAACATTTTTGTTCAATTCATTTTACTGGATTATAATGAATAATGGTTGGTAGAAAGTACACTAGTGATGATGCACTATGCTTCTACTTAAGCCAAGGGCAGTGTACTCCACATAGAACTATTACTAGTGGAAAGTCAATCAAAGAACGGACTCATCTTCTTTATTTTTTGAGACAGTGTCTATGTACCCAAGACTATTCTCATACTCACAATCTTCCTGTGTCTACCTCCAAATACTAGAACCATAGGCATATAAGCCTATATTTAAGTTTAATTAATGTCAGTATAGTGACAGGAAACCATAAGGTCACTGTGGAAACCAAGATTTGTTAAAAAAACTTCATGTGATTTTATTAATCAGGAGACAAAGTAATGCTACTACAAAGGAGTGTAGGATCACCATACTGTTTCTGGCATGCTGCCACCACCCAAGGAGACTAGGGATTTTGCCTTAATTATTTTTCTATTGTGATAAAAGTAACATGACCAGTACAACTTATAATATAAATAATTTAGTCAGGCTCATAATTCCAGAGAGTCAGAGTACATGATGGCAGGGTGATAGCATCCAGGAAAACGGCTGATAGCTCACATTTTAAAACAGAAAGCAAGAGACACAGACACAATACTGGGAATGGCTAAAGGCTTTTGAAGTTTCAAAGCTTGCCTCAGTGACACATTTCCCCAACAGTGCCACAACTCCTAACCCTTCCCAGTTTCACCAACTGGGGACCAAGTATTCAAACCTATGAACCTACAGGGGCCAGTCACTGCAGGCTTATTTTCTGAAATATGTTCATCTGAAATCTTGTTGAGCTAGCAATACTCTGAAATCATAGATTAATGGTATTAGATGAAGAAGCTGGCTCCTTTTCTCATGGTGTATCATAGACGCCATACCACCAAGATCCAGAAAATTGCTTTTAGTCCAGCAAAGGCAAAACTCTCACTAGGGGAAACAGAAGGTCTTTTAAAATGGCAGTGTTCTGTGTTGTGTACCTCACTCCTTTACTTCCCTTAAATCCTAATATAAAATCATCATCTGCCATTTAAAATACAAGATAAGATTTTCATATTTTAGATTAATGTCATTACCTTGGGGTAAATTTTTCTTTTTTAATTTTTAAACATTTATTGAGATTAAAAACAATCTTATTTTATATCAATCCCAGGTCTCTCTCCCTCCCATCCTCCCTTCCCCTCCCACTGACCTCCCATCCCATCCTCATCCACTCCGCAGGGAGGGTGAGGCCTTCCATGGGAGATCATCAAAGTCTGTCACATCATTTAGGGGAGGGCCTAGGCCCTCCTCTGTGTATTTGGACTTTCCTTTACAAAAATTCAGGGTAATTACTGAACAGTCTATATTTTGTTGGTGGGTGTAGGATTTAATATTTTAAACTTTAAAGTTTAAGTCATTTTCCATGACCACTCTTTCTGGAATAGCTGAAGACATCAGTGTCTGTCTCTAAAGCAGTGGTCCTCAACCTTCCTAATGCTATAACCCTTTAATGCAGTTCCTCATGCTTTGGTGACCCTCCACCTATAAAATGATTTTCGTTGCTATTTCATAACTGTAAATTGAATTGTAATCTGAATATCTGATATGCAGGATATCTGATATTCAATGCCTGTGAAAAGGTCATTTGACCCCCAAGGGGGGTTGAGAACCTCTGCCTTAGAGACTTCTCCATTATTCTTTGCTGTTTAAAACAAAATCCTATAGAGTTTGGACACAATGGAAAAAAGGAACCCCAAATATAAATGAACCCCAAATAACCGTAGAGGAGAAAACATACTAAGCAAAAAGACAAAGACATGCTGATGCAGTAAATGAGTTGAAAGGCAAAGGCTACAAACCTTTGAGACTTATTACATGTACTCCAGAAACTGTGAGTGAGTTAAGGTGTCGACAGTCCTTTGAGAAGGTTGTCAGCTTTGAGTTCTTGAACACAGTTCCTAAAGGTGGGAGTCTGACATTTCCAGCCTAAATGTTTTCCACGAGGCAGATAACTTATCCTAATGAAGTAGGAAGATTAGGCCCCAGTCAACAAATACGAAATAGATGTCTCTTTCTTTTGCTAAAGGAAGGCTTTTTGGTCCCTTAAAAGTCATGCCACGTAGGTAGCCACCTACACACAAATCATGGGCCAATCCTCGGGTGAGGCCCAGGGGACTGGTTTATTTTCCACTCCACCCTTGCTCTTTCTACCAGACCCCATAAGTTTGGTTTCCTCCTTTACTTTCACAGGCTATTAATCCTGTGAAGCAGTGGATAGGGCACACACTCAAAGAGAAAATTTTGAGAAGGACGGCAAAAAGTAAAAAGGGCCAGAAGGATGTGATTATCTTGGACGTTAGTTTATTTTATGTAAGCTTGGAAGCTCATAACTTTCCTGTAAAAAAAATCCCCTCTTCTTGTCCAAATGCTCATGTCTGGTCTGAGACACAAGGTGAACATTCAGAAAAGCTGAGGAAAATCCCCACAGCCCTGTCAGCACCGAGAACAGGAAATGCATACAGTTTTCCCTCTGCAGTGTAACTTGTGATCGCCTCATTCAAGAATTAATGTGTAAAATGGAACTTTGTGGGACAGTGGCTTATACTCTACAAGAAAAGACTTGGGGAACACAAACACAGACTGACAAATACCCAAGACACTGATAGCTGTATTTGGACAAAACGTAATTTGAAATCATTTCTTTACTGTTTTAGAGTACCATTCAAAAGCAAGTTAATACTTTCACTACTGTTTTAATCATGCATCAATATAAAAGTGCATGTATTCCACTATAAATAAATCCTAAGTTAAACAACAGTCAAGAAACGGAAGTTTGTCAAATTGTTTACAAAAGATTGTAGTATATGAGAAACATAAAGGGATCTTTGGTCTAGATGCTCAATAAACTTTCTTGCATTTGGAATTCAGATACACAAAAATATAGCTGGGCCGTGAAGGATACCAAATTTCAGTAGATGAAGATGGACTAGAGACAGAGCTATTTAAACAAAATTTTACTTCAGAATATGAAAGAAATAATATAGGGACAATTTTGTAAAAACAAAAACAAATACCCCACCACAACAACAAAAAACTTGACTTTGAGCTTTATGTTATTGCTTTCATACTCAAAGGACATTCTCAAATTTGCATGTACATTGAACTTGTTAAAATGTAGGTATCTTCTTTCAACTTTTTGTCAACTGTTATTAATTTCATGCAGGAATATATACTTTAAACACACACTGTAGTTATTCTAGGGATCATAATTTTAGAGAGTTTACAGAAGAAATGGGAAATAATAAAGATAGATTAGCAAAATAATGGGAACCTCTTTAAGAACAATTGGCCTTATCATTTTTATGGATAGAAAAGGCAAGGGATTCTGGTATTATTAGTGGGAGTGTACATCCTCAGTGCAAATTGGTATATACTATCCAAAATAAAAAGTAATTGCAAACTAGTTATGTCTAAGGCAATAGCAATGGGACTGGGCCTTAGTCACGGATAATGTGAGACTGAATGACCCTTTCCACGCTGTTTCCAAGTAATTGAGGGTTCTTCTAGAACTGAGGAACAGGATGAGTTTTCTGCTGGCGAGGAAATGGCCTTCAAATCTCAGCAGAGACGTGTGGCTCACCTCAGTGAAGGAATGCTCACAATGACTCCACTGTCTGGCTGTGTGCATCTTTCCTCCTTTCACGAAGTTGAACTGTAGGCATCTAATAAAATGTGGTGAAGCCTCTAGAAATGGCACCCTGGCAAAACACATTTCTTTATAATAAAAAGGCTAGTGGAACATATAGTAGACCTGACCACATTAGCAAGCTCCCTGGGATAATTAACCACAAAATCATTTTCTCAAAATATTTGCTTATCACTATGTAGCATTTGCCAAACATCTTTCTCAGGGAATTTGTGAGGTATTTAACTCAAAAAATTTTTCAGAAATCAAAAGTCCTGGAAATTCGCAGTGCAAGCTGATCAGAATCTATAAGAAATTGTTCTGCTTTTTTCTCCCTAGAGATGCGATCACTCATATATCATAAAGTTACAAGTGTTTCCCAAACAAATGCACACAGCTGTTCAGTCTTACATAGTTTTCAGGTACTTGTGGAGGTATTCTATATTATCTTGGCAGGTTAGTATGCATGTACCCAGAACTCTAAAATAAAATTGGCTTTTCTGAAAGTGATTGCCTGTAATTTGGGATTAGGTGGTTTGTTGTTTTAGCTTTTGTTTGTTTGTTATTGTTTTGCAAAACTCACACCACAAAATGGCATCTCTATTGGAAACACATCTTAAAAACTATAATTTGTAATTAGATAATTTGGTTACCTTGTATTTTATAACATGCACTCTCAAATTGTAGATGAACTAATATATTTTTAGACAATAGCATCATAAGTCTTACCAAAATGATACACAAAGCTTTCCCTAATACTCATCTGAGGCAAGATTCATCTAGGTAAGTAACAAAGATATAATGTATTTGAAACAAGCATACTTTTGAAGCATCAGCAAAATTCAGCAAATCTTCACATTTGTATATATAAACATAAATGTATAGCTAACTCTCTTTAATGACTTAGGAAATATTTTCTGACCTGTACAGGGCCTTCTCTTTCTTTTTTGAGGAAGGATAGGCTCCTAGAATAAGGAAAAAGGCTTTTGAAAAGTCTGGCATGGTATTTCAAATAAATACCTCAGTTAAATTCAGGGTATGTTCAGATACCTGTTACAGTGTGGGTTCGTTTTTTGTGAAAGGATCATCGCTTTGAATAATTTCATGTGTGGAGACAAATGTCCCTTTTCATTTATGTCCCTACAACCCTACATGAAGGAATATTTGTTCTTAGAAT